AAAATATTCATTTATTACACAAATTATAAGAAAAATATAAAAAAATAGCTTACACAGATTCATTCAAGACGTAGAGGAGCATTCTTCTACAAAATCAATATGGGAGCGACATGCACCTGATAGAGCGGTTGCGACGTTTGCTTTGCAGGGATGGGAACGAAAGCCGATCTTGATCAACACAGAGGGGGGTGCCCTTCCAGAAGGGAAGGCTTGAGTGACGTGATCGATGTATGGGACACCGGTGCGAGAAACGAACTCTGAGGGATATAATTAACAAAAAGGTGTTGCTGAGGGAGAAACCGTATGAGGGGTCCAACAAAACGACGAGAGTTTTGAAACCTCAGAAAAAAAACCTGAAGGCACACTTGGAGACATGATAACACAACAAAGTTTGCTAAGCTCACGCTTAGATTCAAGTCAATAACAGCCCAATGAGCTATGAATTGATCGTTTCTACTCATTGTGGTGTTGTTGAACTTGAGAAAGCGTGTTCTTGTAATATAAATAGTGCATCTAAGCTAGCTTGAATATCTGTCGGTGATCTCTCCTCGAGGTGCTCCTTTTTACCGGAGGTCTTGCAACATGGTATGGGGGAGAGCACTGAGGGCCTGGAAAGTCGTACAGCTGCCACGTAAAGGTCTTACCTCTATCTCACGTGCTGAAGGGAGGACAGTAACGTCTAGCTAGAGACGGGAGGTGCTCATCGATAGCATGCGGTTTTTATTGGTTTAGGCTACTCCATTTTCGCTTTATTTGACACTAGCAGTGTTTATATGTAGTTGAAAGTTTCTCAATACCAAAGATACCTAAGGTTTTCAGTGATAACTTGTGAGGTTAGATAATTAGTCATAGCGGATAAATCAGATAGTTTTTTTACATTTCAGATCAAAGATCTTTTTTCTTCTGAAAACATCACTTCTTTATTCACGTTGTTTTTGCTGTTTGCGTTTTCCCAATTTATTGCCGTTTCTATGTGAATGATGCGGATGATGAAAGGCGTAGTGACCTTCATGGCCTCGCCCATAACGAGGTCACTTCGCACGTATCCGCGGAGTTTTCGTACCTAATTGAAGTTTCCTCGACCTCCGAACGAGGCGTATTTATTTCAGTATTTTCGTCCTTGATACGGTGCGAAATGTGCCATTCCTTAACTCGATCCAAGAATCTGTATTACAAGCAAAAACTGTACCTAACAACGACACAATGTCTTTTCTCAGAATGCACAAGAAAGCCGCATTTTTAACAAGAATGAGATGGATACACTTAAGAGTAGCAAACGATCCCCAAGACCTGAAAAACCGTGAGTGGAATATTTGCCAAAACAGTTCTTTTTACATGTTTTCGAACTTTTGCGCAATACACTCAAGATGAACAGATTCTAAAGAAAACCGCCCAGAGAGTCCAGAAGCATTCTTATTCTTGTATCAAAAACTTTCATCGAAATTTGCTCGTTCATTCGTCACTCGATATCATTGAACAATCTCAGCTTCCTTATTCGTCACGAGACATGTGTCAAAAATTACATTCCATGAATACTGGAATGACAGCATTACGGCAGTTACTTTCTGCTATTTTTTGTAGCGCTTAGGTTTTATAAAAAAAATTATTGTTTGAACGCACATCTTATGACATGGCTGAGCGAATTCGTGTGTAACGCACATACATTACAATACCGCCACTAATTTCTGGTAAATCGACCGAATTCAGCGCACTAGTCCGCCGCAATCCGTCGCTTCGCCATAACTGCTGTAAAAATGGTTTAAATGACTTGAGTTTGGGACCATTAGATAGCAATTGCCAAGGCCAATCCAATGGTCTAGTTCGTTTCGGCTTTCCTTCGAATTTTTAGCCTTATTTTTGCAAAATTTGGAGTCTGAGTCTCTGCTTGATAGCAATACCTGCGGACATAACACCGTCATCAACCCTCCAGTGCGACTAGGACTCTCGATCGTAAGGTTGGAAAATCAAAAATATCAGCATATTTGGATAGATCTCGAATCCGTGATCATTTCAATATCTATCTTCATAAGGATTGTGCATATCCGAATTGAAATCGAAGTTTCAGTTGATTTTTTCAATTACTTTCTCATTTTTATTGTCTACGGGTGTGTATGGAAGACAGAAGCGATGTTACAACCGAGCAGCTCACTGGTTCTTACAAACGCTCACTAGTTTGTCATGATATACCTGTATCACCTGTATCCGACTCGTCCTCGCAAGCTTCTCCAATTGCGCAAGTCGACTTTGAACCATTCATTCCGGTCCTGAGCATGTCTTCTCCATTGTTGGCCAAGCATTTTCACCATCGGATCGGCCCATCTCGTTTTGGGCCTTCTTGGCGACCGCTTGTGGTCCAACGGGATCCAATTCATAAGCCTGAAAGTCCATCTGTCATCTTTAAGACGTGCTACGTGACCGGGCCAATCTCGTTTACGATTATACATTTCCTGGACAACATCAACAAGGCCACTTCTTCGTAACTCTGTGTTTGTGATATGTTCACGAAGTGACACTTTGCAAATTCTGCGTTCCATTGACCTTTGCATCACAGCAAATTTCTCTTCGTCTGCTTTAGTGGGCGACCAGCATTCCACGCCGTACAGCAACGCAGGTATCACCGTTGAGTGAAACAAAGATGCCTTCAGTTTCATCGGGAGGTTATCGTCCAGCAATACCCTTGAGATTTTGTTGAAGCTGGACCATGCTGCTTTCCTGCGTTTAGTGTATTCCTCTTTAGTGCCTTCAGTGAAGCTGAGCTGGTGTCCTAGGTATTTATAGCTTTTCACTTCTTCAATCGTTTCACCGTCTACAATGATCGCCTCTGTATTACTGAACTGATTGTGCATCCACTTGGTTTTTAACAAGTTCATTTCAAGTCCAATTTCATTTGATTTCTTCTGCAGCAGCACAAGTTTCTGTTGGAGCTCAAAAGCATTATGTGCAAAAATAACGCAATCATCGGCAAACAGCAGATGAGTCAGCCGTTCTCCATCGATCTCTATGCCATCCGTCCAATCAAGATCTCTGAACAAGGCTTCCAGCGTTAATGCAAACAATTTCGGCGAGATCGTGTCACCTTGTCGAACGCCCTTGCAGATTTTTATTTGGCATGGATCGTTGAGGAGCTTTATTTCTGTAGAGCAACCGTTGTTCAGCTCTTCCAAGAGGTCGACGTAAAGGATAAAGGATAAAGCATTTGCCGTTGATCAATCCCTTTTTGGGATGCGGCACGCATTCTACTTCTACTTGTACATTCGCAGTGGCCTTTGAATGCGATGTGGCCTGTACAATGACTTGCGGGGGCCAGCCGATGTTCAAGTCAGTGTTTTTTTATCCTCCCAGACAAGTCTGGTAACCGACCCCGGAGGGATGGAAGGCTTGGTTGGCCCGGGCGACTCACGACCCAGGATTTGATCCCGGACCGCTCGCGTGGTGAGCGCGCCACTTGTCACTACACCACTTCCGCCCCCAGAGGTCGACATAGGACGAACTAATACCATATCTGCTCATACCATTCAATATCGCGTTTGTTTCAACCGAATCAAAAGCTTTCTTGTAATCTACAAATGCCATGCATAGGGGGATCTGGTACTCTTCACATTTTTGAGAAAGCAACGTGATGGGTCTGTAGTTAGTTAAGCTCTCAGGATCGCCTTTTTTCATCAGTAGTATCGTCCTTGATTTTTTCCACGCTGCAGGTATCCTTTTTTCATGGCAGTATCTGCTGAAACGTTTTGCCAGCGCTCTAAATAGATGTAGTCCGCCTGCTCTTAGGTGTTCGGGACAAATGTTGTCGCAGCCAGGACTATTCCCAGCCTTTATTTGTTTCACTGCGTTCTCCACTTCTTCCCACATTACTTCTGGGATCGGTTCTTCTGCAACGTTTTGGTAGGTTCCTGCAACAACCACCTTTGAGGAGTACAAATCGTTGTAGAACTTTGTACATATCTCGTTCATTTGTGGGCGGTTGGTTGTTCTAACACCTGTATCGTCCTTGAGAGCATAGGGTATATGTCCCCTTAGACGGATATCCCTTTCCACAGCTTTCAGGCTGGCCCTTTTCAGCTGCTTCGCGAAGTTTCATTTGTCTGTAGTCTTCATAGTCGCACTTGATTCTTTCCCTTATCGCTTCACAGAGTGTCCGGTATTCCTCATTTTGCACTCGTCCTTCAGCCTTCATGCGTGCTCTCCTCTTCATCATCTGCAGTGTTCGATATACGTCGTCGCCTTGCGGGCTCTATTGCAATGCTCGATGCTTTCACGGCCTGAGTTATTTTTCCCACTAGATCTTCATGGTCAGCATCGATGTTGCTTCCGGTATTCATGTGTAGATCTGACGACTTTATCATCGCAGCATACATATCGGCATTGGAAGTTTGTCGTACGAGTGTTCTTTGCGAATGCAGAACTCGACGTTCTTTCTTGGCATCGAAGAGGATCACCGAACGCAAAAGCCGATGATCGGAGCCCGTCGTTATCACATTTTCCCCTATAACAGAGACATCAGCAAACAATCTTGGCGTATCGGTCAGCACATAATCAATTTGCCTCAGAGTTCTCGTATCTGAGCTTCTCCATGTCTAGAGACGCTTCGCTTTCTTCTCGAGGAAGGTGTTCATTATTGAGAATTGATGTTGTTCTGCAAATTCGATCAAACGGTTTCCTCTGTCGTTTCTTACTCCCGCACCGTACCTTCCTATGAGGTATTCCGTATCGTCCAATCGGGTAGCCGACAACTGCGTTGAAATCTCCTTGAACAATAGTATATGTCGATTTAAGACTTCAATNCGTCTCTATTTCTTTGTAGGTAACGTTCGATTTCGTCGTCCTCCGCCGTGATAGTGGGCGCATATACTTGNGCCCATTTTGTAGCGTTCGATTTCC